CTGTGGCCTTGGGGGCCAGGATGCGCCAGCACGGAGCCTGGCCCACCGCGGGCCACAGGGCTGATTTAATTGGCCAAGCAACCTGCAGCGGCTCTTAGCTGGACAGCCAGCCCTGGCTCTGGCGTCCCACCAGCCCTGAGTGGTGAGGTGCCCAGGAGTGGCCTAGGTCCTGGCCAATCCTGCAGGGCTACCTCCTTGCTCACAGGCACAGCCTACTGAGGGGTGGAGCCAAAGGGCTGGTCTCCGACCCCGGAAGCCTGGTTACCCTCCTGGCTGACAGGGCTCCCACCCATGCATGTGGACACCAGCTTTCTGACATGCCTCTCCAGCCCTCAGCCATGTTTGCTGCCCCAACGAGGCCTCAGCGTACCCAAGCCCATGCCCCTGCTCGGCACGGGGTCCTGCTGGCACACTTCCCCCACACATCACGGGGCTGGATGTTGGTCCCCGCTGCTCTCTGGGGGCAGGGCTTGCGAGGTCTCATGGTTGAAGGGGTGCAGGACAGGGACAGGCGGACTCAGTCTCTCTGACTGAGTCATCCCCATGTCCCCCTCAGCATGAGTGGCCCCTGAGCACAGGTTGGTCAAGGCTCGCCCACCGTGGACAGAAGATGGTTTACTCAGCAATGGGCCCTAAGTCAGTGGGAATCATGGGATGAGATCAAGTTCAGGGTCAGAAGGGATGGGTGCTGTTGAACGCATAGGAAAGTCTTCCCTGGGGAGGTGGTGACTCAGGCAGGGTGTGCCTGAAGGGACTGCAGGGGAGAGAGAACAGAACATTCCAGAAGGGGACGCTATTTGGGCAAAGGCCCTGAGTCAGGACAACTAGCATTGTGGTCAGCCTGGCTGGCCCTGCCGTCCATCACTGGCCAGGCATGTCCCCAGCTTGGAAGGGAGCTGTTGGCCGAGGTTCCTCGCAGCTGCTGTGGCCCCAGCTCCGAGTGGAGCAGTTGACCTTGACCTCCGACATGATTGTCGTCATCCTGTCAACCATCATTCTCAGGGATTCATGGCTGCAGAGCATGGGGACAGCGGCCAGCAGCTCCTGGGGGAGCGAGGACGCTCAAGTCCCTGGATCTTAGCCAATGAGATGCTCAGGTCTCGCCCACCTGCTGCCCTCCACATGTGTTGGTGTTCTAACACCGGCAGGTGCTAGCAATGAGGGTCACAGGGTCAAAGACACCTGTACCGTCTGAGGTCTCAAGTCCCTGGACGGGAGGGGTCCCCCGTGCTGTAGGCATTGATTCGGGGCTTCCAGCAGTGCAAGGCGGGGCACAGAGAGGCCAGGATCCCTCATCTCCTTGCCTGTCTCTCCCCCGACCCTTGCCCCGGGCTCTGCCGCCGCCCCCCCCAAGTCCCTGTATTCCCAACGCATTTGTCTTTCTGGTAAATGTATGTTCCCCACTCAGACATCCCCTCACCGCGAAGCCCATCCGTCCTTCCCTTGCCCACGAGGCCTGAACCAACTTCCAGGAGGTACCAGTGAGGGTGGCCCCAGGTGGGGTGGTTGGTCTATTCCCTCTGCCACAGGCCAGGACTCATGGCGGGCAATGGCAGGGGCTCCTGGGCAGTGCAGAGGGGCCTTCTCAACAGGCACGGTGTCCTGCAGCAGGTGCGGCGTCCCCGGTCTGTCTGGCCAGCAAGCACTGCGTAGGCTTCTGTTGCTGGACGGAGACGTGGCCACTGCTGGGTGCAGCAGTAGGCAGACAGCAGGCCAGAGGGTGAGAAGGGCTCTTTGCGGGAGGGGGAGTGGGCAGACAAGGAGAGACTTTGAGGAGGTGTTGGCGGTGGCTGGGGTGAGTGAGAGGAACTTTGCCCCTCCCATGGCCAGGCTCCGCCTCTGCCTGTGCCCTGGCCGGAGCTTCCATGGGTGGGTGTGCCATGCTGCGCTTGCCAGCTGCAGCTTGGCCTGCACTGGACCCTCCCTGGCACCTTCCAGGTTCGTGTCCACAGCCTGGCCAGGCCCAGGCCAAGGACCACCAGACTGGCTTGTCCCTGTTGCCCAGGACTGAGGAGTGGGGGATGAGGGTGGCCAGCTGAGCTGCAGCTCCTCCTAGGAGCCTCAATCCGCCCACTCTGCCCTCAGCAGGCGCCTGGGGGACTGTGTCTGCGCGCTCAGCGACTGCTGGGCTCTGTGATCTTGCAGCATCAGTCGCTGCAAGGCCTGAGCTGCTCCTCGGGAGCCCTGACACGCCCGCCAATTAGCCGTGCTCAGGTCTCTGGAGCCGAGAGGCTCCCGGATGAGACAAGACCGCAGGCAATTACGGCCGTGGTGGTGCCTCCTCGCCAGCGCTGCTGTGCTGCCCGCGGAGGGCAGCCCAAGCTCAGGACCGGCTCTGTGGGTGGGCAGAGCTGGTGGGCTGGAGGTGCCTGTGTTGGGCTCAAGGATGCTGGGCGTCAGTCAGTGGCATGCCCACCTGGCAGGATGCGGGGAGATCCCGGGGCCAAACAAAGCTTCTGCCCACGTGATCTTGGGCCCTATGAGTGTCACATGCCCTAGTCCGCAGACAGACCCAGGTGGTGCAGAGGGCTAGGCCCCCTGTGGAGGTTCAGGGAGTGGTGACTGGCCTGGGCCCAGGCAGGCTGTGAGCTGGGGCAGGCACCGGAGCGTGTCTACAGACAGAATACACACAGCCATGTAGTGTGACGCCAAGGCAGCCAGGTGGGCAAGCACCGGGAGCCATGGTGGCCCAGGCCAGTGTCGTGGCTAGGACACGCGGCCCGCTGGTTTCAGGCCGCCCCAAAAGCTCTCCCAGGGCTGTGGCCTGCGCGTTCGACCCCTTGGTATCTGCCTCTGCTCTGTCGTTAGGCTGCAGCCCTTCGTGGGGCAGGCTTCTCCCACAGCAGACAGCAGTGACAGCCCAGCGGCAATGGGGCTGCTGGGATCAGATTCCAGCCTTGCCACACACCAGCTGCAGGTGTGTCGTGCTGCCTCCGGGGGCCTGGGTGGGTGCAGGCACGCAGGTCTGTTATAGCATCCCCTGTGACTGACATGACTCACTGCTGACAAATGGCCCGTGGCACTCAGTGGCCACCCACTCGCATCGCCTCACTCACGGGGGTGTGTGCCACTCCCTGCTTGACCCTCGCATGCCACCGCTCCAGGCTGGCCCAGCACTTTCCCCAGCACTGTTCCACCAATTCGGCAGCTGGCCCTGGACCCACAGCCTGGTCTTTGCCTGCCCCGCCCTGCCCCCTTGTGCCCTGCCCCTCAGCCCCTCCTCTCTTCCCTCATCTTCCTCCCACTTTGGATTAAGAAAGTTCCAAGTGCACCTGGCCCTGTTGCAGCACTTAGAAATCTCAGAGGCCCCCTGCCTACAGCAGCTGTGCCTTGGCTCTGAATCCTGCTGGCCTCTTTGTAAGGGAATCCTGTAGGCGCTGCTGGCTGTTGCTGCCAGGCAAGGCTCCACCCCTCTCCCTCGCCCCTGCTTCCCACCCCGCCCCACAGCAGTCTTCTTTCTTACTGCCCAGAGAGCCCTTTTACCCTCACGGTCCCCTCCAACCATCCTCCCATCAGGGTCCTGGTTGCTCACCCCCACCCCAGCCTCGCTGGCACCTCTCTCGATTTTCCTGCCCACTGTGTGCCAGGCTGGACAGCTGGTGGCCAAGTGCCCTGGCCAGGGCTCCAAGGCCCCTTCAGCTGCTGCCCATTCCCCTTCTCCTCCTCCCCTGCTTATCCAACCCTCCCCTGGAGGCACTCCTTGGCCCTGCTGGGTGACTAAGAGCTCTTGAACCGGAGTGTCCATGATGTCTGGACTCTGGTGTGTAGAAAGCCTGGGTTCAGCTATGCACAGAGGCGGGCATGGGGGCAGCAGGTGCCATGGACTGGTCTGGAGGGTTCAGCTATGCACAGAGGCGGGCATGGGGGCAGCAGGTGCCATGGACCGGTCTGGAGGGTTCAGCTATGCACAGAGGCGGGCATGGGGGCAGCAGGTGCCATGGAGGAACGTATTTGCTTTTGTTCTCATGTACGGCACAGCACGGGGCTGAGCTCTGGTCTGGGACTCCTCCTTCAGAACTCTTGGACTCTGTGGTCCCATGGCCTCTGGCTAACCCGAGCTGCTGACCACCTTCCCCATGCTGCTGGAAAGCCACCTAACTGTTGTCATCACAAAGTGGCCCCAGGCGCGGGCCTTTCTCTGTCCTTAGCCCTGCCCTACACACCTGCCCAGTGGATGTGTTTCCTGCGGCGTCTGCTCCCCCACCGCTGACAGCTGCTGAGGTTCCGCCTCCCCCAGCTCCCTGCTGCCCTCCCAGGGGCCACAGGTGCCCTCCTTTGCCCCCAAGAGCCACTCGGACTGCCAGTTGAGGTTCTGTGACATTGGAACTTGGCTGTTAATGGTTGTTTCTGCCGTCTTCAGTGTAGCCAAGCCAGGGGGTGGGGGAGAGATTTTCCATCCTCTGGTTCATACTCCAGACGCTCTGACAGCTGCGGCTGCACAGCCTGGAACTCCACCCAGGACTCCCAGGTGGGCAGAGAGGCCAGGGCCTCGAGCCACTGCCTGCTGCTCCAGGGCAAGCATTAGCAGGACGCGGGATATGTCAGCATGGACTTGACCCAGAATGCCCTGAAGCAGGGTGCAGAGTCCCTGTCCTCTGCTGTCCTTGGCTTCACTCGGCTGCCGAGCAGGTTGGATCTGGGAGCCACAACCATTGTCGCCAGCAATTCTGCTTAATGTGTGTGTGTGTGTGTGTGTGTGTGTGGTCACAGGGACCAGAAGAAAATCCCACCCTTAGTCCATCCTCTGCAGCTTGTCACGCCCAACCTGGGCACACATGCTGTCTTCTGTGGGCCTGGGGAAGGGGAAGGACAGAGGCTGGGGGCCCAGGGTGCCCACTGTCCATCTCTCCCTTCCAGCAGGGCAGGTTGGCTGCTTGTCCTGGCATGTAACTTTGGTAGTTTTGGTCATTTCTGCCCAAATAACTAGCAGGGTACCACTTTCCCCGGCTCAACCAGCGGCCCAGCCAGCCCCACACACGAGTATCTCCCTCTTCTTGCGGCTAGTAGCCAGTGGCTGGTGGCTGGTAGTTGGCTGGTGGCTGGTAGCTGGCTGGTGGCTGGTAGCTGGTGGCCAGTGGCTGGTGGCTAGTAACTGGTGGCTGGTAGCTGGTGGACAGTGGTGACTGGTGCCAGTCTGTCTGCCCATTTCCTGGCTGGGCAGGCTCTCAGTGCCCTGCCCCACGGTAGGGGCAAGTACTCAGTGTCACCCAGACCCTGCAGACCATGAGACCTCATTCCTGTTTGGGTCCCTCTTCACCCCGCCTTGCAGGGCCCAGACCCACCTTCAACTCCAGCAGCAGAAAGGATGAAGGGATGGGCCCCAGAAAAAGCATTTCCTGCACCTGTGTGCCTGAGCCAGCGGTGGGAAGAGGGGCCACCCCCAAGCCTCCGTACGTGGGTGGGGGTACCTGGGAGCAAGGGCTGTGGGAGGAGGGACTGGGGGCCCTGGTGTTGGCACGGGATCCCCAAGGCATCTTACTTGCATTTTGAGGCCCACCCGGAGCTCAGAGTGAAGTGGTCAGAAGCCAGTGTCATCATGCAGGGGGCATGGCCGGTGTCAGCGGGCACCCTGGACTCCAGCATGGCCAGGCTGGCTGCTAGAGCCTCCAGGGAGGAGCCATTCCAGATGACAGGTCATGTGACCTTCAGGAAGCCAACGCCCTTGCTCACCTGAGACCACACCAGGAGGGGCCGAGCTGTCCCAGAGGTGACAGCGGAAACAGGGGCACTAAGTGGGCATGGCCACACTGGCACCCATCTATTGCCTCGGGCATCCGCTCACTGATCCTGGGCGGGGAGGGCTCCCAGCCGTGCCCTCCGGCCCCTCCCACTGTCCAGATGTGAGGAGTGGATTTGATTAGCACTCACTGGGGACTAGGAGTCATTACAATCAAGACTGAAGGCGCAGAAGGCAGGAACGTGTGCCTGGAGAGGCTCCTGGCAGCTGAGCCTGGCAGAGCAGGGATTGGCCTTGCACTCTGGGGAATGCCCAGCTCTTCCTGGGTGAGGCGGGCACTAGAGGAGGTGGCCGCCCCTGGGCTTCCCGGCTGGCTGCTCTCAGAACTTCTCCAGCCCTGGTGATCTCCGTTCTTTTGGGACGTGTGGCTGTGTTCCTCCTGGGGGCAGAGATCAGCGGCGGGAACAAAGCCAGCCGCCTGTACACCCCCCAGTTTCAGCTGCCCCCACCCCACAGTGGAACCTGGAAACAGGGTTGTGTCCCTGCTGCTGCTGTGGCCCAGCTGGATGACCCCCCCCCCCCCGTGAGCGTCCGGAAGCTCAGGGAGCCAGGATGAGGGCATGGGGTACAGGGAGCTGCACCTTGTGGGGGCTGGCGCTATGGGTCAGTAGGGAGAATGAGACCCCAGCGCGTGACCTGTGCCCTTCTGGCTGGGGGACGCATGTGTAAGTTTCATGTGGCTGAGTGGCCAGTGCCTCGTGGTAGAGGTAATGCCGTCCGTTTTCTCACAACCATCAAGAGTGTCTCTGGAAGTGGTCAGGAGCCGAGGGGTGGCCAGGGCTGTGGCAGGGACCGCCTCCCTTCCTGGGCCCAGCTGGCAGTGCTGTCCCACCCTCACTGGCACCAGCTGGCAGCGGTAGGCTTTGCTCCGCCCCTGGGACAAGCCGGCCAGGGTTTCCAGCATGGGGAAGGCCGGGGGACAGGCTTGCCGTTTGCCAGGTCGGCACTGCAGAGACTGTGACAGCGCCGCTGTGCAGGGACGCAGCCCATCAGCGCGGTGACGTGCGGCCTCCGTCCGTCGCTGCTTTTCCGTCCTCATATCTCCCTTGCCTTTAGTTCTTTCATCTTCTGTGAGTTCACTGATTGGTTTTGTGGTTTGGGTTGTTTTTGCCTCTTAAAGCAGGTGGAGGAGAGCCTGCGTCATGATGCAGGGGTTCGGGCCGTGTAGGGGACTGAACCAGCAAACAGAAGACCTGTGTCTCTCTCCTTGTTTATCCCTCTCTTTGTGTAACTTTGCTGTTTTAAATAAATAAAATAGGGCCCGGTGCAGTGGCCTAGTGGCTAAAGTCCTCGCCTTGAATATGCTGGGATCCCATATGCATGCCAGTTCTAATCCCAGCAGCTCCACTTCCCATCCAGCTCCCTGCTTGTGGCCTGGGAAAGCAGTCGAGGACGGCCCAAAGCCTTGGGACCCTGCACCCGTGTGGGAGACCTAGAAGAAGTTCTGGGCTCCTGGCTTCAGATTGGCTCAGCACCGGCCGTTGGCGGCCACTTGGGGAGTGAATCATTGGATGGAAGATCTTCCTCTCTGTCTCTCCTTCTCTCTGTATATCTGACTTTCCAATAAAAATAAAATATTTTAAAAACAAATAAATTAAATAAATCTTGCTTTAAAAATGCACACATTTTTAGGCCATCATTGTGGCATAACAGTTAAGGTTGTGACCTGTGACACTAGCACACCGTAGGAGCAGCTGGTTTGAGTCCTGGCTGCTCCATTTCCAAGCCGGCTTTCTGCTAACGCTCCTGGGAGAGCAGCAGAGGACGGCCCAAGTGCGCAGGAGCCTGGAGCCAGGTGGGGCACCCAGAGGAAGCTCCTGGCTTTGGACTGACCCCACTCTGGCCATTGTGGCCATTAGCGGAGTGAAGCAGAGTGAAGGTGTCTCTTTGTCTTGCCCTCTTGTTGCTGGCGAGCTCAGTGGATTCTTCCCTCAGCGTACAAAGAAAAAACCAGGAAGCAAGCAGAAGCGAAGCAGCAACTTGATCCAGCAAAGTGAGGGTGGGACAGGCAAGGGACAGGGCAGGGACCCCCAGAGCACACTGGCTGCCACAAGTGTCCCTGGTGTTTAGGGGTCCTCTGTCCAATCCTGGGAGGGGTTCTGCTCCAGCGGGAACCTCTCCACTCCTGCTGTTGGTGGGAATGTTTGGAATTTGGGTGGCGTTCTGCTGTGGCCTTGCTCCGCGGGGCGAACAGCATACTGACAGCATTTTAACCTGGCGCAGACCAAAGGGTTTGAGAATGTCCTGGTTGGACTGAGCAGTGCCCAGCTGGGTTGGTCAGAGCTGGGCTACCCGGACTCTGACTTGGGCTCCAATGTCCCTGTAACTCTACCTTTCCATAATGAAAAGCTAGAAAAACTCCCCGATTCCAAATATTTAGGCCAGTGCTTTTCTGCCTGCCCCCTCTAAAATGTGAGCTTGGAGTTGGTGGTTTTCCTTCTCAGCATTCCTTTAGCTGTCTCTGATACATTGCGCGGTTGGCTTTTATTGCCCTTCAGATCAAACGGTTTCGTAATTTTCGCTGATTTCTTGCTCAAGGCCCTGATTGCTGCAGAATGCATTAGCTCACGGCGCGGGCGCCACTGGCTGTGCTGGTTACGGATTCCCCTCCCGGTTCCGCTGCGATCACAGAACTACGCTACTTCCCTGGAGGAGTTGAGGCTTGTGCTGGTGCCCAGCCTGCAACCCGCGGAGCTGGATGTGCTGTGGGCGCTGCTGGCAGGGCGGCGTGCACTTGGTTTCCAAGGGTGTCAGGCTGTGTTTCCTAGTTGGTGGTCCAGCCTTTGTGGGTGCTGAGGGTACCCATGGGTCACTGAGAGAAAGCCTCAGATCTGCCCACAGTGGGGCAGCTTTGTCTGTTTCCCTTCTCCTTCTGCCTGCTTGGATCCTGGCAAAGGTAACAGTGTTTTATCTTCCTGGTCAAATATGCCTGTGTCCCTCTTGGTGAGTGCACCTGCCATGGTCATCACTCAGCCTCTCCCTTCCGGCTGGAGCCAACTGGATCCTGGTCTCTGCTTTGCCTCTCAGCTTCCTCGGTGCTTTTATTGAAGATGTCGTATCTGAGGAGTAGGTGGCTGGGGCTGAGGAACCCATTGAAAGGGTTAGAACAAGGGCCTTGTCTCCCACTGGAAGGACAGGTTAACTTTGTTTCATCTGTTTTGTGTGTGTGTTTTTTTTAAGATTTATTTATTTTTATTGGAAAGTCAGATATACAGAGATAAGAGAAAGAGAGGAAGATCTTCCGTCTTTTGATTCACTTCCCAAGCAGCTGCAACAGCTGGAGCTATGCCGATCCGAAGCCAGAAGCCAGGAGCCTCCTCTGGGTCTCCCACATGGGTGCAGGGTCCCAAGGCTTTAGGCCGTCCTCAACTGCTTTCCCAGGCCACAAGTGGGGAGCTGGATGGGAAGTGGAGCTGCCGGGATCAGAACTGGCATGCATATGGGATCCCAGCATGCATATTCAAGGCGAGGACTTAGCCCCAGGCCACCACACCGGGCCCTGTGTTGTGTTCTTTATTCCTCTGTCTCATTCCATTTAAAATATACAAGTGTGGTGCCAGTATGGTGGCTTAGTAAGCTAATCTTCCACCTGCAGTGCTGGTATCCTCTATGGGTGCCTGTTTGTGTCCCAGCTGCTCCACTTCTTATCCAACTCTCTGCCAATGGCCTGGGAGATAGTGGAGGGCGGTGCATATCCATGTGCAAGACCCTGACTTGGGGTTAGCCCAGCCCCAGCCATTGCTACCATCTGGGTAGTGAAGCAGTCAACAGAAGACCTTGTTTCTGTCCATCGCCTTTCCAATGAAAACATATACATTTAAACACACACATACACACGTTTTGTGATTCCATTTTCCTGTTTCTGCTAGTTTGCTAGTTGCATATTGTTTCATGATTCTTTTAGTGGTTCCTCCAGAGATGGCAGTACCCGTCTGTGCCAACTCAGTTCAGTTTGGGCCCTGACCTTCCCCAAGCACCAGCGTCTCGGGCTTGGGACTTGGCTAGCCCCTCGTACGCCCAGCCTGTCTTTCTGTCAGACATCCTGCCCTCTCACTCTCGCCAGGACCTACTTCCTTCCTCCTGCATCCTCAGTAATGGTTGCCCTAGTTATCAGAGGAGTGTGGAGGTTGCCTCAAGCCCAGTAGGTCATTCTGACCTCAGGCTACAACCTGGAAGGGAAGGTGGAACCGTGGTGTGCCCCTCACACAATGAGGCCACTGCTGCACGAAGGACGGACATCAGCCGATATTCCCCACCAGTCAGGGCTGAAGCCGCCTCCGCGTCAGCTTCCGTGTCAAGGGGGGCTTAAGACTCCCTTGCACATCTCTCCCTGGCTCTTCTTCCTCAATAGCTCCCGGCTTCACGTCTGTCTTTCCACTGCATGGGGAAGGGAAGCGCAGAGTTCCCGGACTAAAGGCCATCTGAATTCTCTGTACACAGCTGATGGGTTCCTTGCCTGCTGGTCGGCGAGTCTGACACTTGGCATCCTGCAGGTGTGCTGCGATGTGCCAAGGCTCGCTGTGTTCCTTGGATCCTGACTTGGTGTCTTTCGTCGTATTTTGAAAATTCTGACACATTATCATTTTAGATTTTCTCTCAGCCTGATTGGCTCACTTTTTTCCCTGTGAGTTACGTGGACATGGGATCGCCTGTGGCGTGTATCATGTTTTCGGCATTTTACCTCCCTGTTTTTGTTTTGACATTTTCCTGCCTGCTTACTCTCCAGTTGGTCTTCCTCCCAGCCTGGTCCGCTTGGCTCTTAGCTACGTCGATGGAGTTCTTGTCTTCAGTTATTGCATTTTCCAGGTCTAGATCCTTGTCTGTGTGTCTGGTTCTGCGATGTCCAGTGTTTCACTCATGCTGAGTCATGTACTTCATTCATCCCTCCTTGTTCCTACCCTCACACACTTGGCAATTTTGTAATTAGTGATAAGCATTGGTAAGACATGTGGCGTCTCTGTAGTGCCACCGTCCTTTTCAGCTTCTGCAGGCGTGATCGAATCAGCCAGGGTTTTGCCATATTCTGAGTTGGCTTCTAGACTTCGTTGAGGAGTCTTGCCTTTCTGCAGACCTGTGCAGTGGATGCCCATCGCTGCACTTCGAAACTGTCCATTCTGTTTGGTCTGACACAAACACTCTCGGACATAGAGAAAAATGACAACTAATAATAACGTAAGACAGAAGTCTGGTATTGTGGTGCAACAAGTGAAGCCACCACAAGCGACACTGTTGCAGGGTGAGAGAAGTCGCACTAGACACAATGAAGGGCCAGAGTCCTATTGGCCAAGCTTGCTATAGAAGCCAGGGCTTGTTAAGCTCTCGTCCGCCAATCAGGCTGAGAGCTGTACAAAACAAAGTTTCCCTACATTCAGTACCTCAGTGGCCGGAGGCAGGAAGGGAGCTGCTGGTAGCCCCAAGTTTCCCTGTGCCTAATTGCTGTAAAGCAGTACAGCAGGAGGCAGGGGGGCAGGTGGGCAGAGCGTCCAGAGCCATTCCCGCCCCCTGCCACTGTCAGCTCACTGGAAGGGTTCGAGAGGAGGTAGGAAAGGGGGGGTTCTGGACCTCCATTTCCACACTTATTATCAATTAACCTGGAAAGAGGGGGGCTAGCTATCAATCAGCTGCACCCCATTCACAACGCCAGCACCCCTTATCAGAGTATCAGTTTGCACCCAGCTGCTCCTCTTCCAATCCAGCTCCTGCTGATGCACCTGCAGGCACAGGAAGATGGCCCACGTGCTTGGGCCTCTGGCACTCATGAGGGAGGCCTGGTGGAGTTCTCAGTTCTTGGCTTTGGCCTGGCCCAACCCTGGCAGTCGGAGTCATGTCTGGGGTAAACGGATAGATGGAAGAACTCTCTCTTCCTTGGTCTCTCTTTACCTCTTCAATACATAATAAATATTTTAAAAACAATTATATCAATATACAATAACAAAAGTCAAGTGGACTTTTTTGGACCACATTGGCTG